GAGTGCCCTTTTTTAAAAAGCGCGTGCCCCGAGGGGAAAAACCCCACCCCGGGGGCAAACCCCGGGGGGGGGGGGGGGGGGGGGCGTACTCTTATGCTTTGCATGCCTTAGCGGTTAGACCATTGACCACGCGTCCTCGAGAGGACGGAGCATTGTTCCCACAGGACCGATCACCGATGGCCAATCGTTCCTTCCTACTTTGCCAAAGGTGGCTCAAAAATGTCTTCCCTAGTCTGTCTATCCTACCGATGTCACTTCCCGCCTTTTCAAACCACTTTCTACTCCCCAGTACCGCTACCGTCCTCTCCTCTCTATTCCATGCCTCAAACATCTCCCTGTACGTCCCTTGTATTCTTCCCAGCTCAGTCATGTACACTTCCCTCTCCTTTTCGTACCACGGACATTCCGCGACTACATGAACACTGTCTTCGCATTCGAAGCCGCAATCGCATTTGAACTTGTCGTCTTCGTCGTCTACCGTCCTATGTCTTCGTCGACGTTCGCGAAGGCCTATGTCCCCGGTCCTGAATTTGACCTTAAGCTTTGTCCCTGCATCCATTGGTCCATGTAGGTAATCCTTGAACCCTATTCCTTCTTTCAACATTCCGTACACTTCTAGACCCTCCTTATCCTTGGGTTCTTTCCTTAGATTCTGTTCTTCTCTGTCGGCACAAGCAACAGATATCTTCTTCTTGAACCCCTGTAGACCCTCCGTTTCCCGGGGGGGGGGGCTTGTTTTACAACGTCGTTGCCAAGCGACGAAAACCCAACCCCGATGGCAAAACACCGAGGGGGGCAGCCCCGAAGGGGGGGATTTTCCCAATGGCACCAACCTGAATGCAAGACGATGAGCAGCTGGTTTCTCAACATCATCATTACTACTACGGTTGTGGTGGTACACTGTCGTCCTGCACGAACGGACGCGATCGGACTTCTCTGCTTCATTCAACACGTGAATTAGTTTTTAGTCTACCCTTGACCGTTCGTTTCCTTTCTCATCTGGGTCCGACAAGCTACCTTTCATCGGATATTTTGTTTCGATACATACTATACCTCCCCCACAACAAAACACCAGGCATGGGGGGATGCGCGGACTTGAAACCCAGACACATCGCCTTGGCGGTGACCTGTGCCCGTCTCAAACGGCCGCTGGACATGTATAAAATTGTTCAACTTAATGCCTCTCCTCTGACCGTCCGTCTGGCCCTTCTGCTGTTGCGCCGCCCGCTACTTCTTTCCGGGTTGATGTGCTTTGGAGGGGGAAAATGCCACTCCTGTCGGACCGTCTGCGGAGTTTATTCTCAAAACGCCCCGAACAAGCAGATTGATTGTGGAAATTCTCTTGGCGTGACGGGCGAACGTAGCGCCTTCTTTGGAAACACACACGCACACAGAAGATTGTAAGATGAAATGAACCGACTCGCCGCCAGTCGGTCGGGCACATGTTCAAACTTGACGCGAAAATTCGACGCAGAACACGTTGAAACATAGTAGGGTTTTTCTCCTCCACCCTCTCCCTTCCTCTCCCCTCCTCCTCCTCATCCTTCACTCCACCTCCCGATCCTTCCCACATGAATATGAATATATATTCAGCCAGACACGTTAAATAAGTGGCAGGCCACGTCCACCTTTCCCCACTTCCTCACACCCTCTCCCCCCCCCCAGCTCTACTCCCCCTCCCCCTCTAGCCTATCTCTAATTGGCACTCCATTGGTTCACCCTGCCCCCCCCCCTGCGCGCCCTCTTTTCCCCCAATAATTTACAGCACCTCGCTTGCTTGTAAAGTGTGTATGAGGGGAGGGCAACAGAAAGAATATCATTTCGAAAATGTACGCATAATCATTGAAATACTTCCGTTCGAGAAAGTACCCCAGTCTTTGCAGTGAGTGGGGTGGTGAACCTGCTACAGCAGCGGCGACTCAAGAACGGATCCGAGACAGCGCATGGCATTCAATGTATGTTTCGCAGCACGCGAAATATTATACACTGGCAGCAACCGACCAACGAGATTTCAGGACCGTTAAGTTTCCTCTGCGTGGTCGTCCAGTAGTGCTTTTACCGCTTGGTAGAGTTGGTGTGGTCTCCTCGACCAAGTTGTACGGTCGTCTGAGCAGTGAGGACACCGCCTGATGCTGGATGCATCTACTACATGTTTTGTAGATGTCGTTGTTGTTGTTGATGATGATTTCACATTAAAAACCGTTCCGGTCTCCGCTCAGTACCCTTTAATGTCCGTACTGGTCCAACTGACGCGGACGCCTTCCGCGGTCACAAGCCAACTGCCCCCACAAAGTACGACATTTATTTCTCGGAGGTGTACTATATATGTACAGTGTAGAGAGAGAGCGCTTCGCAGCACTGCAGTTCCCACGTTTTCATGTATGCATACAATGTACAAGTAGTTGCTCTGAAAAAAAACTTGTGTTTATCTATAGCTGCTGCCCCTGCTGCTGCGGCTGTTGTTGCCGGTCCATACACACTCATGGCGCCGCGCCGCAAGATTCTTTGACAGCTGTAGGTCGCCACGCGTGCGATGGAGAACCGCCCTTTGAGCGAGATACTAAACGCGATGAATTTTCCCATAATATTATTCGAGGGTGATATAGGGGGGCACGCAGAGTGCCAAACGGCATCCCCTCAAGAGGGCGCCGCACTGACCGACGAGTGACTCACATGCCGCAGCAGCATCGCTTGCGAGAGACGTGCGTCCTCTCTACACGTCTAGCTCTGGAGTGCGACAGTTCGATGGACTCACCTGGTTATTGTCGTCCGCGCGCAGGTAAACTCTTATTTATTTGCCCAGCCACGCTTTGCCATTGGCTACCGCACGCCCCACACAAAGGCGGCGCTGCTGCCGGCCGAGCGGAACTACATCTTGTAGCTCGCAGTTGCACGGAAGTTCAACGCGGGAATTGCGGAGGCTGTAGCACGTCAACTACCAACAACACTTGTTTCATGCCTGACTTGCGCCTTCAACCACAGCGGTATGTTTCTGTTGCTTGCTGACTTTAAAACCTCGTATGAGAGCGTCTTGAAAAAGCCAGCTAAGATTGTCCCGATGCGTCTTGTTCATACAATACAACGAACAGAAGGTACACAAGGCGGTATTCTGTCATCACTGATACTGCTGTACCTATCAGTATACTGCTGTATAGACTTCAATAGACTCGAAATAAGTCCAGTACATACCCAGCCTGTTTTCCTCCACTCACTGAAAAGACTCCACGACATCCCTTTCGACTGAGGTTATATCTCGAACGGGTTGTCTTTCGGTGAGGTTATGTTTACCTTCTAAAAATGTACCTGGTATATGCTGTCTGGGAAATCGTAGACATACAGGTACTTTCTGACGCTATGAGTCCATTGCTAATCTGTCTCAGACTCTTTTCTATGATAGAGATGGTTTCGTCGTGTCATATTAAAAAAAAATGTATGCTCTCCATTCGACTCTCATCTTCATTCGACTCTCATCTTCGATGTTGTGTGTAAAGGTTTGGCGTGCCGGGTACGACAGAGTAGGAGCGGGGGTACCCGGACGTACGTAACACGTGCACACAGCCGTGGCAAAGGCGCACAACTGGTGCTGTCTAGTCGCATCATATCGCGCACCTATTAAATATTGTGAAGACAACAAATTAATCAACGTCCAACAACCCGCTTATGCGAGACGTGACACGGCTGAATCCCCCTGACCTGCATTTGGCGGCCACCCTGGTGGGGTCTCGAACAATCTTTCTTGCAGGCAACGCCGACGAAAGCCAGCAGCGGCTGGCTACTGTAGAATATACAGCAGTTGAGGGTCCTCAGTAGTGCCGGTTGAATGGTACCTATGTTTATGGTATATTGTCGGTCAAACCTCTGGGCACAAGTGTCTGGTCCTGTACTAAAGCCTAGAAGTTCATACTGTATATCTATCCCGGTTCTAAACCGTAGAAGTACTGTATATCTATCCCGGTTCTGAAGTAGTGCTGGTCCCTGTGAAAAGTGAAAAGTGAAAAGTGATGGTAAACTGGTGTGGGCCATACCGGCACTACTGAGGGCCCTCTACGGCTGCATACATACATCTCCAGATAAGGAGTGCCTCTGTTCATTTTGTTCTCCGGAGTATCACAACAACACTAAACTCATCTCTTCCCATAGATAAGGGTCTAGTCTTCGCCGTCGCGATAAGCGGTGCTTCCCCCACCCCCCCACCCCTCCCCCGGTGTCCTCTTGTCCCCAAACGCGAACAAATAACATGACAGTCTCCGTCGTGGGCGGCGATGAGTACGTCTGTCCCTTCTTGTTCGATTTCCTGACCATCAGCGAGCTTGGGAGGGCGGCCTCTGTCTGCAGCACGTGGAGGACGAATGCTGCCGACGATGAGCTGTGGCGGGAGATATACGAGAGGACACAGGTACAACCGGTACAGCCGTAGAGTACGCAGGTTTTTTTTCAAGTAAGCAAACATACTGGATACAGTGTAGCATCGGCTACGTTGGGGTAAAGGGCTCATGTGCTGTTGTTGTGTTCACATTGAAAACCGTTCTGGTCCCCGCTCCGTACCTTCTAGTATCCGTACTATTTATGAAATATCGGACCGTTTTTTTAATACGAAGGCAACAACAACGACAACAACAACAACAACAACAACAACAACAACAACAACAACATGTATGTGATTTTTTCATTGGCATCGACCGGCTGACCAATGAAAATACTCCAATCCCGTGCGGTTGAAAACAGAAAACGCTTTTTTGAAGGGCATGGTACTGCTGTGCCCCGTGAGAGGGCTTCATGAGGGAGGGTAGGCCTAATTCTATCGACAGAAACGGTAGCAGTTGAAGAGAAGTGCACGAGTCTATCGAGGCCTGTACTACTCGTGTTGGTGCTGGTTCTATCATCCCTCACCACCCTCCTCGCTATTTTAAGTATTTCTACCACTAGTTTTGGTCAGTCCCCCTGTTTCTCCGGCGCTGACTGTGTGGAAGATCAGCTGGGTCGAAACGTTTTTCTCTCTTCCATGCCCTCTCTTCGTGCTTGTTTCCATTCGCCTCTCGCCTTCCGCTTCCTCCTCCCGTGTGTGCGCACTAGCCAATTAGGAGACGCCATTTTTTTTTTTTAATCTTGTAGCGTGATAATAAACGACGACACTCGTTGTTTGTGTCTTTAGCATCAAGTGTGGCGACACCTCTCCGCGCGTATTTTGCGCAAACAAACCTGCGCGAGGGAACAGGTCGGAGAGGCTGGAATGGAGGAGTGGGCGCAGTCCCTTGCGGCCAGGCCATTCGAGGAGGACGCTGTTGGCTGGGAGGTGGAAGTTTTAAGCGAAGAGGATGTGGTGTGGACGCCAGGGCTAGTCGTCGCCTACTCCGGCGGGCGGTACCTTGTGTGAGTCGCGCGGTCCTCTTTTCTTACAACGTACAAGTGCTCCCTCCGGAGTGGGTTCATAGTACGTGGTGTCATCAAGGCGTGGTGCAAAGATGGAAGTGTAAAGTATGTGTTGATGTGAATCAGCTGCCAGCTGCCGTCAGTGGTGTTTCCAAAGCTCGAACAACTAGCACACGCGACGTCAAACACACATTCGCTGCTAGTGCTACCTTTGGCCATCACAGCTGCCTCCCTCCCCAACACCCCTCCGCCCCAATGCGCATTTGCCGCTGTGCCCCCTTACCCGCTGCTGACAATGCGCGCATGCGATCCTCCGCGTCTTCGTGCGTTCTCTCTCATCCCATTGGTTACGGCCCTCCAGCGAGTACGCGGATGGCTCATCGCGTTGGGAGAGCGAGTACCGGACCGAGGTATTGATTGCACCGCATTTTCCCAGCGGGTACTTCTTTTTTGTTTGTTCCTCTCTTGGGCTAACCGTAATGCTACACCCAAGTCCTCACACTTTTACTTTTTTGGTCGTGGACTCATAAATGTCAGTGGTACCTGTTTGTGGTTGCCCACTCTTGGTGCCGAGTGTGCCAGGGACAAACTTCTTCTCTTGGCTCTTTCTCTCAGACTTGGTAATGCATTTAGGTAAGCCGCCGAAGCCATTGCTTGCCATGTCGAGGTACATAACATATTTATAGGTGTGCGCATTGTGCACTGCTGGTTTGGGGCGAACGATGTTGTCCAATATCCTTGGTGATCGACTGTAGCTATTAGTACTGTAGCCAGAAGCTCACACGAATTGCAACGTGTGTCGCACAGGTGTGCTACCTAGAGCTTTCGGTGTGTACCCCCCGTCACCCCGGCTCGGTCCGCACGCACGCAATCGTTGTCATGTTTTTGTGCGTCCGGTGTCTGACTTCACCCCCATCCTCGTGTCAATGCCACGACTATGAGTACACCCCTCCCCCCACTCCTGCGAACTGCAGGGCCCCTGGCACCGGCGGGGAAACAGCCGCCTCTCCTTCCTGGGCCGCCTCCACGATTCCCTAGCAGGCCAAGACGCAGACGGGGGCGCCGCGGCGGTCTCCAATACCCCCCCCTCCACGCCGGCGGATTCGAGTCGCGGAGCCCCTGCTGCCGCGGAGAAAGCGGGGGAGACCCGGTCGTTTCCGGACTGGCCTCGGCTGCGGCACGGGAGGTGGAGGGAGGAGCTCAAGGCGAATTGCTGCCACGTCCCGGCGGTCGAGCTAGTCAAACTCGACGACCACACGTGAGCGTTTTACGAAATAGCGGCGGTGTCTCACGGTAATTTTTTTCCGTTCCGTTCGCGTTAGTCCGCGCTGTCGCACGGCACTTTTTCTGTTCCGTTCGTCTGACTGCTAGTCCGACTCGGTGACCACACGTGAGTTCCTTCCTTCCTGGTTCAAATTTTTTTACGGGTTTGGATTAATTGCCAATTAATCCTTGAATGGACCCTTATATATTGGATAGATGTGGGTTTAATGTGTAAGTTATGTTCAGAAAAAAAAAGAAAGAGCGCACGGCATTTTTCCGGTTCCGGTAGTCTGAGTGCTAGTCCGACTCGACGATCAATCGTGAGCTCCTTCTGGTTCAAAAAAATAGCGGCGGTGTGGCACGACATTTTTTCCGTTCCATTCCGTTAGTCTGGCTGCTGCCGACAACTTCGTTGAAGCGAAGAGCTTGTTTTTTTTGCCCCGTGTTTCTTGCGTTCTACCTCGTTCCTTGTTCTTCATTCACCATCGCCGTATGTCCGACAAGCGTGCGATGTCGCGCGGGTTTCCGCACCCCCCCCCCTCCGGCTTTGTATGGATGCGAGGACTATGGTCTAACAACTACGACATGCACAGCGATGAATACCCGCCCCCCCCCCCACCTGTTCGCGCTGATTGTTATGATCGTCAT